ACAAGTCATGAAGGGGGCCATAGTTCCCCCATGCTGGCTCAGGAATTCTGGGAGTTGAAATCCACCAGTCATGAAGGGGGCCATAGTTCCCCCATGCTGGCTCAGGAATTCTGGGAGTTGAAATCCACCAGTCATGAAGGGGGCCACAGTTCCCCCATGCTGGTTCAGGAATTCTGGGAGTTGAAGTCTGCAAGTCATGAAGGGAGCCATAGTTTCCCCCATGCTGGCTCAGGAATTCTGGGAGTTGAAGTCCACAAGTTATACAAGAGCCAAGGTTGCCTACCCCGGTTTAATTTTTCCCCTCAGAGTTACCTGAAAAGTGCAACTAGGTGTGGAGCCTTCTTGGAACTGCTGAAAGGAGTTAACAACACAGTCCTTTCAGCAGTTCCAAGGAGGCTCCACACCCATTTGCACTGTTCAGGGAGTCCTCGACGTATGACCGCAATTGAGCCCAAAGTTTCGGTCGTTAAGCGAGACATTTGTTAAGTGAATTTTGCTCCACGTGACGACTTCAGAAGGCCTTGTCAGAAGGCCGCAAAAGAAGGTCACATGACCTTGGGACACAGCAACAGTCATAAGTATGAGCCAGTTGCCAGGCGTCATGAATTTTGATCACAGGGAGATGCTGGAAAAGTCAGAACTGAAAAACCTTAGAGGTCTTCTAGTCCAACCCCCTGTCAGAGTACAGAATAACAGACTTGGAAGGGACCTTAGAGGTCTCCTAGTCCAACCCCCTGTCAGAATACAGAATAACAGAATTGGAAGGGAACGTGGCGGTCATCTAGTCCAACCCCTTGCCCAAGCAGGAGTCCCTACGTCATTTCAGACAAAAAGCTGTCCAGTCTCTCCTTGAAAACCTCCAGTGATGGAGGGTTCACAACTTCTGGAGGCAAGGAGTTCCACTGGTTAATTGAGTTTTCCTTATCAGAAGGCAGCTGAGAAATTCGCAAAATGGCGATTCACATGATCCCGGGACGCCGCAACTGTTGCGAAGGCATGCCTGTGGCCAAAGGCCCAAATTTGGATCATGTGACCATGGGGAGGGTGCGACGGTCCTAAGTCACCTTTTTTCAGCGCTGTCGTAACTTTGAACGGTCACTGAATGAACTCTTGTAAGTCAAGGACTGTGTGTATTCAGGGGAACCTGAGGGCACAGATACACCTCCAAGTGGTCTCAGTGACTCTCAGAGGGAGCACTAACGACCAGGTGACTGCAAGGAATAAAAACCCTTCCATCCTCCACCATTCACTGAAGAAGCTTCTTTGAGGAGAAGCGAAATATCTTCAGGGAAAAATGTCCATTTGCCTCTTGAAAAAGCCCCTTTGGGACAACCAGGATCTGGATGGCCTAGAGATACTGACTTTTCGTTGATCTACATATCGCACCTAACAGCAATCCTCAACCTAGGACAGTAATGGAGTTTGCCCCATTACGGTCATAAGTCGTGACGGTCGTAAAATGAGTCGCCGTGAGACCGGATCCGGGTTTTAACCACTGGGGGTTTTTTTGCGGTACACCATCCGTCCTGGATGGCTGTGGGTTCTTGGCTGGATGCAATTTGCTTGCACTAAAGTTAAAACTTTAATCCCTTTTAACTTTAGCATGAGCTGTTTTTTTGGCCATATTTTGCAATCTTTCTTATCACCGTTGTTAAGCGGATCACGGCAGCGGTTAGTAACGTGGTTGTTAGGTGAACCTGGCTTTCCCCACGGACTTTGCTTAAGTTTTCCAACTTAAGTTATCTGCTGGATTGCATTTTACTCTACTGATTCAAGATGGACAGCGAATTTTTACACGTTACTTATATAATAATAATAATAATAATAATAATAATAATAGTAGTAGTAGTAGTAGTAATAATAATAATAATAATAATAATAATAGTAATAATAATAATAATAATAATAATAATAATAATAATAATAATAATAATAATAATAATAATAATAATAATAAAAAGTTGGATGGGACCTTGTAGGTCATCTAATCCAACCCCCTGCTCAGGCAGGAGACCCTATACCATTTCGGACAAATGGCTGTCCAGTCTCTTCTTAAAAACTTCCAGTGTTGGAGCATTCACCGCTTCTGGAGGCAGGTTGTTAATAATAATAATAATAATAATAATAATAATAATAATAATAATAATAATAATAATAAAGTTGGAAGGGATCTTGGAGGTCATCTAGTCCAACCCCCTGCTCAGACAGGAGTCCCTATACCGTTTCAGACAAATGTCTGTCCAGTCTCTTCTTAAAAACTTCCAGTGTTGGAGCATTCACCGCTTCTGGAGGCAGGTTGTTAATAATAATAATAATAATAATAATAATAATAATAATAATAATAATAAAGTTGGAAGGGATCTTGGAGGTCATCTAGTCCAAACCCCTGCTCAGGCAGGAGACCCTATACCATTTCAGACAAATGGCTGTCCGGTCTCTTCTTGAAAACTTCCAGTGATGGAGCATTCACCGCTTCTGACGGCAGGTTGTTCCACTGGTTAATTGTTCTAACTGTCAAGAAGTTTCTCCTTAGTTCTAGGTTGCTTCTCTCCTTGATTATAATAATAATAATAATAAAGTTGGAAGGGATCTTGGAGGTCATCTAGTCCAACCCCCTGCTCAGACAGGAGTCCCTATACCATTTCAGACAAATGGCTGTCCAGTCTCTTCTTAAAAACCTCCAGTGTTGGAGCATTCACAACTTCTGGAGGCAGATTGTTAATAATAATAATAATAATAATAATAATAATAATAATAATAATAATAATAATAGTAGTAGTAGTAGTAGTAGTAGTAGTAGTAGTAGTAATAATAATAATAATAATAATAATAATAATAATAATAATAATAATAATAATAATAATAATAATAAAAAAAAAAAAAAGTTGGAAGGGACCTTGGAGGTCTTCTAGTCCAACCCCCTGCTCAGGCAGGAAACCCTATACCGTTTCAGACAAATGTCTGTCCAGTCTCTTCTTAAAAACTTCCAGTGTTGGAGCATTCACCGCTTCTGGAGGCAGGTTGTTCCACTGGTTAATTGTTCTAACTGTCAGGAAGTTTCTCCTTAGTTCCAGGTTGCTATGTAAGGGTGTAGCTCTATACATATGTTGTATATAGTGTGTTTTAAATGTGTGTTGTGTGTATGTGTGTACACTTTGAGGGCAAAAATTTCATTTTTAATGCGTGCCGTTGTGCCCACAGGCGGGGAAAAATGACCATAAAGGTTATCTAATCTAATCCAATCTAATCTAATTTTACATATCGTTACCCTGGTCGTTTGTATCGTGGTTTAATATTGGACAGCCATTTGTCTGAAATGGTAGCATAGGGCTTCCTCCCCGAGCTTGGGGCTGGACTAGAAGACCTCCGAGGTCCCTTCCAGCTCTGTTATTCTGTAATAAAGCAGCCACTTTCTAAGACAGCCGCCACATCTCGCCTCAAGGGGGCGCTAGTTCTTCAAGAATTGTCTATGTGGGGAAGTTGTCAAACGTTGGTTCCCCCCCCCCCCAAAGTCTTTGCGGTGTTGTGTAATGAAGTGTGAATAAAATAAATTGTACAGGATATTGCCTTTCCCCCCCCCCCCCCGCTTCTGATTGGGGGAAACAGTGCAATGGATGCTAAATCACAGAAGTATCTCAGCGTGTTTTTGGGATTCTGCTAAGGCGTGGGATTACAGAACAAAATAACAAACAGTTGGAAGGGGCCTTGGAGGTCTTCTAGTCCATCCCCCCTTGTCAGAATGCAGAATAATATACTTGGAAGGTGCCTTAAAGATCTTCTAGTCCATCCCCCTGTCAGAATACAGAATAACAGACTTGGAAGGGAACGTGGAGATTATCTAGTCCAACCCCCTGCCCAAGCA